TATATTGTCGCAACTCGGACAGAGTACTTCATAACCACACATAAATAATATTGTTGGCGATTGGTACTTCATAATATCTTAAAATATCTATCATGCTAGTTTCTCAAGTCACCGCGGTGAAGGCCGCCTTCATATCACTTCCATTCGTTGGCGCTGGACTTGTTGCCTCACAATCATCTCGTGATAGTACAACTTCAAAATCTTCTGTGGCGTCAGATGTATCGTCGCCTGCGCACGGGGACTCATTCGCAAGAAGGAGTATGATCTCCACTACGGATGGTGCTGTAGAGGATACATCTATACAATCCAGTCTGCCTACATGGGATCAAACGCACAACGGCATCGCCGCAAGCTAGTCCTTTCCCTCGGTGGACTACATATCAAACATATTAACACACTGCTGACATCGCATGTCGCTTGTATGTTTTGGGGTACCCAGTGTGCACTTGAGTACCGGTTCGAGTCGACTACTGCGGTTACTGAGCCGCAATGAACGGCTGATCTGCAAAAGGTCCACAATGCTTGAGAACTACACCCTTTGCTTGACGAGGTTTTTTAAAATAGAGAATATATAAAAATATGCGTGATTTTGGTACGCCAACAATGTATAGGCCAACAAACATTAAAATATACCTTAATTTGGTATCATCCTTTTCGTGAACCTCGGTACTAACGCTCACTCGTATTTTATTCCACCTCATTGTCAATTTTTTTCGCGGTTGTCCAACACCTCCAGAGACAAGAGAAAAGGATCATCCTATATCCAGTGCACATCTTGGCACTTTTACATTTCTCTATACAAAGCAGTTGTCATACTTTGTATTTCTCTATTAAGCATTTTTATATATACTCGTTTTCATACTTAAATATTTCTCTTTAAAAAAAAATTTAAGTTCAAATTTTTGGGTTACCACATTGCACGCGTCAGTGGCACTGATCTCATAGTTTTCTGGCATAGGGCTTTGATCAATATTAAAGTGAAGATAAGCACGCATATGTGCGCATCTTTAATATTTATAGAAATTCACTGTGGCTGTTCAATGCCTGTATTAAACCTGTTCTTAAATGTTTGTCGGCTCTATCGCGTCTTCGTCTCGAACTTTCATCGCTGTCTCGGCCTTCTCCGCTGCTTTCTGGCTGGGTGGCCGATGGGTGACAACTGCATCGATTTTCAAGGGGATCTGTGTAATGAAAGGCACACATGTTCAATACAATTGATAGAAGAAAGCGTTCGTAACCTGGGATAATGCATGTGTAAACTCACTGGATATAGGTTATTTTCCGACACTTTTGATTAAACACGTAAACAGCTCTCGAGCTGTCGATATTGCACACGACTGAATTGTATTATCGCAGACAACAAACTTAATTCATACCTGTTCCACATTGCAGCCGTACGCGGTAGGCGTCAACTTCAGCAAGGTATGTAAGGGTACCTAGCGTGTCAAGAAAAAATTGCATTAAATTGCGAATTTATGTGATGTACGATGATCATCGTAAAGAATAAACAGAGCAATCGTGCACACAGTGACACGCAATCGAACGATTTGTCTATTCATTGCACGAGTTGATACTTGAGTCAAAATCCTCGGATACAAGGTATTTTATGCGTATGCAGATTATGCACCCAGCCATATCTAAACGTGGGCGCATAAAATCCCATGGTCTATCTGTTCTACAGATATAATCGCAAGGTACTGAGCTTAGTCTGCGTTGCCATCATTTGCAATAAATGATGTGAGTGCGAAACATCGCTCAAAGTGGCGTATGGCACAGACTAGCCAAAATACCAGTTGTATAATGTTTTGTAAAAAGATTTTCAGAACAGCTAAATTTGGAGGAAGCCCGGGCGCGCGATACAACCTCTACCATACTTAAGCGCAGGTGACGAATGTAGATCTCTCATAGGGAGGGTGAATAACAGACCATATGTACGAGTACAGACATGCTTTGCAAGTAACTTGAGCCTCACAGCTATGGATCTCACAGAGATTATTCACTTACCTTAACGTATGGCAGCTCCTCAGGTGGAATGTCGAGGTAGTAGGAGAGCAAACATCGAAGCACAGCCTGATGACTCACCACTACATAGATGAAGGAGAAGAATACACTCTAAATCAACACCCGTTCGATTAAAGGCGAAACTATAGCTTCAGATGGACCACTGTAGATAATATTGAACTAATACCTACTTCGGAGTACGTGCATTTCAAAAGTATTTGCGTACTTTGGCGTACTGCGTGCATATGTAATACTTTACAAGACCTAAGAATGAACACAATAGAATTCTCTGGTCATTACCAAGCATCAAAGCGCACGCTTGCTACATAATAAGAGTACATATAAATGGAGGGCGAGCCAGAGAGTCCACTCTGTATAGGCCTGTAGTCTTAACATCTTAACATATATACAAAAAAAATCAACTTGCACACAATACCGATGGAACCAAAAAAAAACACTTACATAATACGTTGTGCGCGCGTTCCAACTCCATAAGCACAGGTTCCAACCGTGTAATGATATCTTTATAACTCTCTCCACGTGGGTACCGGTAGTTAAATTTATCTTCATCTCGGTTTGCGAACTCATCCGGGAACTTCTCCTGGATCTCTTCGTATGTCAATCCATCGCAGGTGCCTAGCGCAGGGGTGTGGATAGTTTTCATGAACAATTGCATCTCGCACAAAGCTGTCAACTATATTGGTAGATATTCTTCAGCAACAACAAAAAAAGTGCGAAAGTCTTCAGGCGGATATAGAAGCTTCAGCACCTAACGGCCGCGTGTATTTTTAAGAATAGCACAGTTGCGCAGGAGGATAAGAATGAAGCAGCAATAGAGGTCGTAGACATCTACGAAAATGTGCTGCGGTGGCAACGCACTTAATATCAAACACACTTGCAAGGGCTACCTCATACCTGCATCAATCTCTTCTAAACACCGCCACTCTCGCTTGCATTCGGTGAAGTGCTCGGCCGTCATAATAGTTCGCAGCATGGTAGATGTCCAAACCTGCAATGATATAGTACGTACAGCAAACCCTAAAACTCTTACGATCGGACTATGAAGAATTAAATACTCCACACAGGACGCGGGTAGCATTGTATGCTTCGCTGCTTCTAACCTGGCGATGATTAAAAAAATCAGAAGACAGAGCAAGGAGGCGGTATGACGGTATCCTCGCGAACTACATCTAATCAAGTAGAGATACGAACAACTTACCTCGAGGTTCTCGGGCTTGATCTCCCCCATGTACGTTTTCAGGGCCTTTGCGTACTGAAGTCCACGGGGAGACAGCCCAGAGTTGCCTCCGATACGCCCAGCGACATTAAACTGACTCTCACCATGCTGTTGTGGAGAGATGGAAATGGAATAGTTCAAAATGGGAGTTTTCTTGAGAGCGGATTCAATTGGAGGCTGTTAGTTGTGAAGCTGAAAATTATAATATCAATGTGTCAACTACCTATTGAGTCCATTAGCATAAGGTTGACATGTGAGTTCACTCATACGCAGACGCAGACTCGAATCCCGACAGATATTTGTGGATTCCCAATGTCAATCAGCCAGAAAGACAAAATATTCATGACCACACAGCCATCGGTATATTTAAAACTACTAGTCAACTAAGATCTAAACACCCCTGACAGTATCTACACGGAAAATATACACACACACCCCTACATCACAAAAGGTGGTGCATATAATCAGAAGTAGTCACATACCCGACTAAAGTAGATTGTTCGCGGAACAATGTGCACATTCATGAGTAGGTATACAATCCCGGTCTGCATGTAGCCGTTGACCTTGTTGCAGACGATTTGACGGTTGACTGTGCAATACAATTGGTGCAAAGAAAGATGATTAATCTGTATAATAAGGAAGAGGAAGGGACTCGCGCTCGAAATGTGGTTAAAAAAGGAAACAAAATTGGAAGAAAAAAACACGGGTTGTAGCATTTTTAACCCCTCAGGAAGTGGTAACGGAAAGCCGTGCAAAAATCTGCAAAAGTCCAGCATATCCAGATAGCATCTAAACAATTGACAATTTACATAGAAATTCAATACGGTCGCACGGGCGACTACTTACCATCAATCATTCTCAAGAACGAATATTCGCCTTCATGGTCCAAATCTATTTCCTCATAAACCTTCAAATAAGTCAAAGTATATGGAACTGATGAGTTAATACGTATATAACATATGTGCAGCCACGAAAAAAAAATAGCTATAAGCAGCAGGATGTACGCCGCGGCATATACACAGTTTACATCTGAACTTGTTCTTCGTACAACACAGTCCAGACCCTGCAATAACCCGTACGGGTATGTACAACCAGCCGTATTCACGTATAGTCAAGGGCGCGTTTGTGAACGGGGCTTGCATAGCATCCTATTACTTTCGATCTTGAATCACAGAAGGGGCGAACAGTATATAATCTCTACAGTGGTACATGCGCATACTGGCCTACACTCTTGCGAATGAAAACAAGGACTGTGAAAATTGTACCACAGGCTGCATGTACGGCGTGACTGCGACGATGCATGGACCCGAGGCTTACATGCATTGGAGATGCATGGACATATAAATTTGACGACGAAATTACTGGTAGGACGTTTTGTGCGATACTTATATGTAACACTAAACAGATTCTCAATCGGACGTATAGCAGACAGAATATCAATCAAGTCAACGTGCTAGTCATGTGCGCTCGTATAACATACGTCCTCGTACGCCGCCAATCGCTTTTTGAAATCTTCCGCGGCGGTTTGCTTGTCCATGTGTGCATAGTCGGGGAGTGTGAGCTTCACTTGTTCGATGTTGGCCTGTATGATTGATTCGTCTTCGCATACACTCTCAATGAAGAATACTCGAAACCCTTCCTGCAAGCAATGAAGGGTGTGACTGGGTGAGTACATGCATACTTACCTGCGTATATATGCACATAGGACGCTTTGAATAATAATAAAATAGTCTAGTTTTGTTTGCCAGCAATGGATGAGTCATACGAGATGATCCGTAGCCTTTTTTTTTTCGAAGTGCCCACGCATCGCGTGCCACATAATCACAACAATATGGAATTGCGCTCAAGTAAACTAAGCGTCTTGGCATACACTATGTATGCCGAAATCTAGCTCTTCATACAACACCATGCGATGATGAAGGAAAAATGGCGTTGCACCATACATCTTGCTAGTGCTTGCGGGTATAAGACACATCCTGGTATATAATTTAGCGTGGCGTTGGTGAATAAATAGGGAAATCCGTAGTGTGTTTGTACGTGTTCAGTCATCAAACGACGTATATCGAAGCACACACGCACCTCTGTGCAGAGGCATTTATGTACAATGTCTGGTTATAACATTTACGTCGAGTATGCATTGATGCGCAAATGAGGTAGAATTTAGCAAACTAATCAACGCATCATGTACAAAATAAAATGTTCCGAAAGACTCGATCTCTACAACAGCTACGAAGCGAACTGCAAAGATATGTAAATCTGGAGCGGAACAACAAGAATATGTACCAAAGAAATGAAAGTATATACACTCTCAGATACATTCATAATCGGTAACTGTACGGCACATATGGAAACAAGCAAGTATCCCACAAGTGTTGCGTACTTCGTCTGACTACGAGACAGGCACAGGCTATAGTGATTCTAATACTAGCTAAACACATCTAAAACGTGAAGTGTGGACTGTACGAACTCCTGAAGCCTAGTGTCGGAATCTAACGCACCTTACTCAGGAGTTCATACACAGTTTTCCTACGTTCCCTCGTAATGGAGGTGGCGTCGTAGATACCCACACGTGCTTGTTCAGTCTTGAGCCACTCCACCATGTCTTCTAACACCTGGGAATGGTACAAGTAGGAGATTGGTAAGCACGATATGTGAGGTGCATATAGTCGTGCACAGGATAACTAAGAAGTTAAATAAGGATCCTTTTTCTGAGGTACCGTCACTCCGGGTTGTCGGGTGTAATCTTCTGTATATACCATCCAACACAGTACACCTCACCACGCTATACAAAGGTGCACTGATTAAAAAGTAGCAAAGAAGCAAAGTTGTCATTTTGTTCAGATATACGATGGCGTATATATATATATATATATATATATATATATATATATTTATATATATATATATATACTTATATATATATATATATATATATATATGTGCGTGTGCGTGTATACGTGTGTATGTATGTATGTGTATATAAGTATGTGTGTATGGTTACTTTAAATTTGAACGAACGCCGAGCTTTGTATGGAAGAGAATATATCGTGTTCCACAGGACATTCGGGCCGAATACCGCAAAACCTGCTAACATATATATTGACCGACCATACGAACGAGTTTGTCTCTAAATATTGAAAACAATTTAGCAGTGAACACACAGGCATCAAGACGAAGGGAGGTGATCGATTAACTAGCTGATATCAAGTAGGCATCCATCACAGAAGTTAAAAGAATCAAATCTCAATGTCACACCTGATCTATCATCTTTTTGCGGATATTTGCTACGTCTGGGACAGTGGAGGTGAAGAAATCATGCTTCCTGGCCAATTCCGTATCTAAATCCTGTCTGAGATTATTTGTTCATAAAATCGAAATGATTTGAGTTTGAGCCCACAACCACCTATGGAGGATATACTTTTTCTCGTACAAAATCCATTCTAAGTGGCCATATAGGCGATGGTGCGCGGATAAATAATCGTGCAGCGCCAGTATACGCCCACGTCGAAAACAAGTGGATTTTTGACAACATAACATATAGCCACATAAATTGGAATCTCTAGACATATACATATACATATTTGCAAATATGTACATATATATATTTATATATATATATATATACCTGCATATACAATATATACAACATAGCATAGGACGCTTTAATTTGAATATATACACCTCTGAAGATACGCTTTTTAACCCGCGTGTGTTTGTAAATATACGAATGAATGTGCGGGGGTGTATGGTAAGTGAGTTGAATTATTTGTACATGCTTATAAATATATAAGCAGATATTTAAATTCTCAGAAATTGTACCAATGCTTCCAGATATACATTCATATCCACAAGGACACAAATCAGACACACGCACACACACATACACACAGAGACGCATACAGAATTAAAAATATATAAGTGTAGATATATGCATATTCGAATATATAAATTTATATTATATATGAAGCATAACCACCATCTACGTACAAATAGATGCACACAGCACACAAACTTATACACAATATATATACGTCGTATTCCGTTCTACATACATATACAATAATGTGAATACGTACATATGTGATAAATAAATAGAGCTGCTGGTTTACACACATATATATATTCATATCGTTATAATATACATGTTTATGAATATATGATATATATCTGTATCTATATGTTCTATATTATATATATATATATATATATGTGTGTGTGTGTATTACACACACTACTATATATATATATATATATATAGTAGTGTGTGTGTGTGTGTGTGTGTGTGTGTGTGTGTGTGTGTGTGTGTGTGTGTGTAGTATATATATATATATATATATATATATATATATATATATATATATATATATATATATATATATATATATATATATATAGGATATACAGATAAACTCTCGCGCAGAAGTAGGTACTATGACATCCTTCATATACCACGGTGTGTGTACGAACAAGTCGATAAAATCTTCGCGTACGACATACTTACAAACCTTTAAAGTATACACGCTGGCTTAAAGTTATTATTGACGAACTGTACGATGAACTATTAATTTCATACCTATATCGACCTGTGTTGAAGATCTTCGACGGAAATCCTTTCCACTTTAAATATCTGCATACTTTGCTTGCGATGTAAGTCTTGCCACGGGCTGGCAGACCGACCATTATCACAGCATGTTTTCGCTCTGATTCCTTACCCATATTTGACTAGTAAATGAGATCACGTACTTCAGAATGCGATATTTAGGGGGGGATTTCAAATGCTCTTAATGCGTCGTGATAAACAGGTGATATATTTAAAAGGCTACCACCACAAGTGCAAGGCAGCTTTGTATTTATATAAACACAACTTCCCAGCAATATTTTAAAAATGCCTGCAATCTTTCAACCTCATCGAGTCATCCAGGTCAAAGCACTTCTTTGCTCATCATCGAAATTTGGAAGAAGGTTGAGCACTTTTCAAGAGATCAGATATGGAGGGCAACAGAAAAACCGTAAACAGCCGTCCGAAAATAAAGCCAATAACGCAATCACCCAAAGGTACACCAAACTGGTCACTGGTTTTTGTAGACAAATATGGTTCCATTTCTTTGGCATTTTCTTGTGTGTAACTGTATATATTCTATGTACACAAACATATGTAGGTCAAATTTGTTTTTTTTTCGCACATTATAAGTTTTTATATTGACGAGCTAGTTTTGTTTTATACACTCATCACTCACCACTCACCACTCACCACTCACCACTCACCACTCACCACTCACCACTCACCAGCCACCAGTCCCAACTCATTAGTCACCATCCCAGAGGCCCAGGGCCCCAGAGTATGGTACATAGTAATAAGTATGTCCACTCACCAGTCGCCACTCGCCACTGTCGCCAGGCCCATGTCGTCACAGCGCCACTCCACACTCATCAACCTACAGCCTAGAACTGCCCACAGCCCGACAGGCCCACACTCCAGAGTCCAGACTCCACACCACAGTCCACACTCACTCAGTCCACAGCCCACACTTATTATTTACCTTACAGTGCCCACTGCCAAGTGCCAACCCAAGCCGCCATCATCCTTTATTTATTTCTATACAAAACCCCAAAAAAAAAAACTGTACATATATGTACAAGAAAAACCCTTTGGTTTTTGTCTAGTACCCTCGTTAGTGAGACTCTTTCTTCTCTTGTCTACCTTTTTTTTGGGATGGGAGTATGGGACCCAAAGTTGCAAAGGCCAAAACGTATGTAATGTATGTACCCCACCAGAATATTTCAGGGCTAATTCACGTGTACTCCACAGTCCACTGTACTCTCGGAGAAGTGGATTGGTAAGTGCTATATTTGATAACCTAATGAAATGCAATGAAACGTATCTAAGAGTAGAACTATTGCTCGCCTTCGATCAGAAGTATGAATAGAAGTTTATTTATAACTTTTGACATAAATATACAACTTCAAGCAAAATATTTTAGTTCAAGAGACAAGAGGCAAAACACTCAGACAGTTGTGAGACTGTGAGTGAAGAATGAACCAGAGAGCTAACCTCAAACGATTTCCGTTAAAACTTTTATAAATCGAATAAATCTACGTTTACGTTGTAATCTTAGATCGACTCAAAACACAATGTAACGGTGAACCTAGTTTTATTTCCTCAACAGTTGAATAAACGTTTAGCAGAATGAACTTCTTGAATGAACTAAACCACGTATTTATACTGTCTCCGAAGGATTTCCTTGAGAATCCTGCCGCCAATCAAATCGTGTATCTTGTCAATTTCGAGCCTAAAGTCCATTCAATATATATCGTCATCTGCCAACCTCCAGCTCATATACTTAACCTTCAGGAACTCCCATATCCTATCTACCCCCGCATGCGCTAAAGTCTGATGCACCAGCGTAATAACGTATTCTTGCAAAGGCTGAACAGGTTCTGACCATACACTTAGACCAATACACTTAAGCTGTTCGCTAGCCATTACATCCGGATCCCACATCTTAGTAGTACCTCTCTCCATCACTGCAGTAACCAGCTGATGCAATAAACCCACACGAACCTTGAAGTCGGCACTGACCTTGTCATCAAGACTCTCCTCTAACACTCGCAGCTTCTCTTTAACCACCGCCAGCCGGACCCTCCTGTCTTCCACACTCTTGCAGACTTTATCAAATAACAAATCCACGTCTTCATCAATCTTTGGCAGACCTGTTTTTGCACATGTAGCGAACTTAACACCCTCTACTAACACGTGCACCATAATAGGATCAAACCACCACAGCAAATGACTAAGTCCATCCGCAACTTTGTTCTTTGGCCCTTCCGAGTACTGTAGATCCATATCAAACGATCGTACATACATAACATTCCTGTACCGTGTCTTACCCACTGGATCCGACGTGAACTCTACCTGCTGAACCACACCAATTAAAGGCTCCTGATCCATCTCTACTATAAGCTCCTCGTACGATCTCCTAATCAAACCCGCGAACTTCAAAAACCCATATGCTAGCGCTATCAATTATCTATCGTCGGAGAAAAATTAGCATGAAAATATATCTTGGAACTCACAAAGCCCACAGGAAGCCATTCTCCATCTCTTATCACACATAAATAATCACCTATACCCGAATCTGACGCATCTGTCTGCAACCTAAGTTGCTCCTCTTGTCTAGGTTCTATCAAGACTGTCTTCGTCTGCAAAATCTTCCGAGGCGTCTGAAGGGCCTTCTCCTGCTCAGGACCCCACTGGACCGTACCTTCTTCTTAGCCAAATCACTAATCGGAGCTAACACATTCGAGAAATTCGGAACATATCTTGCCCACCATCCAAAACACTGATACCACGACCTTACTTCGGCCTTGGTTTTGGGCCTTGGCATATCTAATAACGCCGGAAGCTTTACTTCCCTTATCATCGAACCCATATCTGTAACCTCTCGACCCATCACGACTATAGGATCTTCTCGATACGCGAAATTACATTTTGACAGCCGCAACTGTATCCCTTTTGCCTCAAAGCGCCTGATCATCTCCACAACACCATCCCAATTCTCAGCTGGATCATCCGAACCTAACGCGGTATCATCAATGTACGTCTTAATTCCTTTAATTCCTTCCAATGTCTCATCCATTAGTTGTTGGAACACAAATGATGCTTCCTTCAAACCAAACGGCATCCCAATAAATTGGAATATCTCTTCCCAGGGCGTCAAAAATGCAGTAACCCCTCGACTACCAGGCTCTATCATTAACTGCCCAAACCGATTTCCAGCATCCACATTGATTCTCCACTTGCGCCCTTTAACTGTTGCCAGAAATTCATCTTCTGTTGGTATCGGATATGTACCCGAATTTAGCTGATAATTCGTACGCATATAATTTATGCACATCCTCCAATCCTTGGGTTCCTCATAACTGGGATCACTACCCGGCACTTTAGGCACAAGTTTCGGCACTGTAAGCCAATCCGTATCCTGTACCCTCTCTATCAACTCAGCTTCAAACAATAGTTGCACCTTCTTCTTCATCACTTCTATAAGTCGCACATCTTTCTCTGTATATACTTGTCTCAAAGGCGCCCCTCCTTCTTTGATCTGAAGCTTAAGCATCCGATCATTCACAAACTTCGGTTTCTTGTCATTGTACGCCACCCTCCTAATAGCCGCCACCAACTCTGCCAATTCTTCCATAGACTTCCCCAGTTTTTCAGCCAACAGTTCCAAGCCACTCGTATCGAACATTAGATAATCGTCCTCACCCCCGGATTCATCACTATCATAACCTGAATCATAACCCCCATCATCTTGCATATTATCAAATGGTGTTACCTGTTCTACTCGCTAATATAATAACGGCGCCGCCACGTGCTGAATATAATCTAACACCGGCTCAGTCGCCTCTTTGTTCAGCTCGGTCTTAAAGTCTGATGGCTTCTCTCTTACCACCTCAACCGGAAACAGTGTATACTTAGTCACCCCTTGCCTAGTGAGTACTGTCCCAGTTAATCCATACCCATTCAATTCACGTCTACCTAACAACATACCCGCATTGTGTGAAATCCAATCCATAACCCACATATCCAACTTAACCCTCCTTTCTCCTACTAAAGTAGGCAAAACAACCTCAACATCTCGCACCTTGTATTACACATAAAGCGGAGCACCAAATCCCGTAACCCACTCTCCACACGAATCATACTAAGCAACCAGCCCCAGACGCTCTGCCAAACCCTTAGAAATCATCGACATATCGGCGCCTTGATCAACAAACATATCGACATAACACTGTTTACTCTCGACATTAACTATAGATCAACGGTTGGCCTGGTCCTTCACAACTAGCCGCCGCCGCATGTCACAATTCAGGTGTCCCACCTACACTCTTACGCACCTCCCCAGACGCTGCTGCCGATACATTACACCCGGATCGTGTTGTAGGGCAGAATCTCGCAGTATGACCTCTCTTGCTACACGTGTGACACACCACGTCTTTCAACACAGGGCACTCTTGCACATATTGACCATCCTGCTTGAAAAACAAGCACGCCCCTCTCAGACCTGTCATCCCTGAAACCCTGGACTCCTGTCTAGCTGCTGCTGCTTGCAACTGTCCTGCTCTCGCGGCTACCCTTGCCTGATGTCTCCGGCCTGCTTGTTCCCTCTCTTCTTGACGCGCTATGTCGTCTTCTCTCATCTCAGACAATTGCTCCAGCACCTGCCCTGCCTCAAACATTCTCAGAACCATGTTCTTCTCCAATTTGCGACTCGCAAATAAGGCTTTCAACAGACTTATACACCGCTCAGTCAATCCTTTTAACCCCTCCATCACTACATCCTTAGAGCTCACATCATTTGCCAATTTAAGCAGCATATCCACATAGTCATCATCCCTCAGCATAGGAACCATCCAGCGTGCCCCATGCTGATTCGCTTTCTTAGCATTCCTACGAATCACCTTGCACAAAGCATCATACTCACGCCGTTTCTGCCTAACCTGTCTTCAACTTAGCTGCTGCCCTTGTCTTGTCTGACACATCAGCCTTCTTCCCTACTGTAGCAACCTTCATTGCAGGCACTCCTTTCTCCTTCTTAGCATCCCCATCCTCACTGTCGCTACTTTCGCTGTTATCACTGCTGTCATTGTCCTTAGCGACTTCCTCTTTAGTCTCACTTTCCCTCTGTTCGTCCTCAGAAGGCACCTCAGTAAATGGATCCCGTTCTGGGAGCACTTTCTTTGCTTCAGCTTTCGCTGCAACACGCCGAGCACCATAGTAATAAATCTCACGAAGATGCTCAATAACCTTTTCAG